CACACACACAATAAATAAATGTAATAAATAAAAAAATAAAAAAATAATTTAAAAAAAAATAGTTGAAAAAAAAGATCAATTACAGACTATAACACAACTTTTAGAATTATGCTACTATTTGTGTGGGGAGGTTATCTAAAAAAGCTTAAAGTAATGCAGTAATTTATTTTCTTCTGACCGTCTGTTTTCCAAGAATTGTGTAATAACATTGTATATTTTGTGCCATTTGTAAATCAGAAAATGTGTTGTTTAAAAAATACATAGCAACATCTACATTATTGAATTAAGTGAAAAAGTGAGAAAAAGCTATTTTAAAAATAGAACTGTGCTTCATTATTTAAATATCAGAGAGTTCAGGGCCAGAAAGATAACTCGGTGGCATAAACGCGCCTGACTGGCATGCGCAGTCCTGAGTTCGATCTCCAGTACCTCAAAATAAATAAATAAATAAATAAATAAATAAATAAATAAATAAATTTTTAAAATTAGACATTTTAAAATATACTGAAATTACTTGTTAAAACCACAAAGACATTTCTCCGTTTTCCTAACTTATTTTCATTTTTATTTTTCACCAGCAAGCCATCTAGATTTTACCATTTTGGGAAAGAAATTTGGACAAAGTTGGACCAGCATGGACAGTCTATCCCTAGTTGTTTTCTGTGAAGTGTCTGATTGACTCTCTTAGAAGTAGACAGTTGGTAAAATTTTGGGGGGTGGTGGCGGTATTGGGGATCTCTGCACTGAAGTTCGCCCCCAACCCTTTTCTATTCTATGCCATGATCTTTCTAAGTGACTCAGTTACCTAGGCTGGGCTCAAATGTATAATCTTTCTGCACCAGCTTCTCAGAGTGCTGGGATTACAGTTAAGTGCTTCCATGCCTGGCTAGTAAATATCTGTTATGGTTTGTGTCTAGTTGTCCCCCCTAAAGCCTCATGTAGGTCGCGGGGCAGATGCTGCTGGAGGAGCAGCCAGTGGCTTGAGGGGCGGGGCCAGAGGACCAGGGCGGGGCCTGATGGGCGGGGCCAGGATGGAGCAAACCGTTAAACTGACAGCATGTGCCTCCTCCCCACCCCCCAGCCCCCAGGCGTGGGAGCCTCTCTTGGAAGTATGGAGGGAATGATCCTGCGCATGGCGGCACCCCAGCCTCTCTTCCAGACCCTGTAGCACAGGGCGGCAGCGTCTTGAGGTCTTGCTATATAATTCAGGCTGCTTTAAACTATGAAATCTCCAGTAACTATGAGCTAAATAAACTTTTCCTTCCTTAAGCTTGAGTGTCTGGTATTTGTCCCAGCAATGAGAGAAGAGTAACAAAGACAAAATTCTTTTAATGAAACTGTACAAATTAAAGTGTATTAGGACAGGAGCCCAGTAAAATAAGTCTTGATATTCAGATGTTATAATCAAGCAGAAACTAAGAGGAATCTCCTTTGTTTCTTATAAATTCTATTCATTTCCTTTGTGAATTAACCCAGTATGAAAATAATAGCATCTCTTAAGGACATGAGATTTAAATGGCAAAAATAAATGACCTCCTAAATTGCTGGCCTGCTTTGTAGCTACAAGATCTGGTAAAAGTCTTGATATTTTTGTTGCAGACTGGATTATGACATAGCAGACCAGGCGTAAGTTAGCTACTCTCTTATCTTACATCTCAATCTAGGGTGCAAATTTGATTACATGCTTAAATTCAAATTTGGTTCTCTCATTAAAGAAAATGTGAACTCACTCCATGTGGTTATAGATAAAAAAAAAAAAAATCAGAAATTTAAACAAACTCATTGTTTACAAAAAGCCCTGTGAAGCTGCAGAGTCAAATCACTTACCTTTCAGGAAAACGAAGGCTCCCTGGAGTTCTCAACGTAGATGATATGAATTTGTGCTTCTCTAAACTGAAGCTAAAATCTTGACCTTAAGGATTTCTTTTTTTCTTTTTTTTTTTTTTTTTTTTTTTTGTGGAACTGGCGATTGAACTCAGGCCCTTGCTCTTGCCAAGCAAGCGCTTATTCTACTGAGCCATCTCCCCAGCCCCAGTATTTCTTGACTTACAGAATTCTCAAAATTTTAATTCGACCCCAGTGACAAACTGACTGATTATTTCTAATCTAGACCACCCTGGGTTTTGCTGAATGTTTGTTCACAGACATTTGTTTCTCTCGTGGTTAATGTTTTGAACTTAGAAACTGGTGATGACATATGTTTTAAAAGTCCCATATTGCTTGTATCTGAATCAGCAGCAGATGAATATTCCTAATTTAAACAGTTTTGATTGCTCATTCTGTAAATTTTCAAATTTCCCAGTGATGCAATAAGCCAGTACCAGTCCCCAGGTGTTAAGGGTGGCCCTCGAAACCACAAGCTAACTCACACTGATAACCAGACGGCCTCCTTTTCATCTTAACAGTTAACAACCTGAGATAAAGATTCATGTTGACAAGCAGCTTTCAAATGGATTATGAATGCGATGACACATTCTGTTGGCTGTGTAAAAATCACATCCCGTGAACAATAGCCTCCAGACATAGAGTTTGATCCCTCTCTTAAAGAACCAGTGTCTATTTTGATTTTTGTATGAATTTTTCTTTGGCTCTGCTAAATGACAGAATATGTGATAGTGCGTTCTCATTTATCTTTCCGTGTTCTTTCTTTTGTAATAAGTAGGTTCTTAAATAGGATAAGAAATTAAGAGCTAGCAAAGCTGCTCAATGATTGACATTATTTGTAAAGTTGAGAAACAAAGATGCCTTTATTTTGGTTTCCCATTGCGCTGGTTCTTTTCGTGGGAGATAATGTTACGATGATTATAAAAGAGGCTCTTCTTTTACCCTCGTCTCTACACTGACCCGTGTGGTTAATACTCAACTAATGCCTGTTGATTTGGTAACTAAAAAGGCTTCTTTCTTAGTTCAAATTGTAAACTGTCATTTTTTATTGCTGTTTGAGCCCAAATATAATCTTAAACTCATTGATTGGAAACAATTTATCCTAAAGGTATATTTGGCTATATTTTGCATAAAACCACCATACATTTCCCTCAATTGATTGCTTGTATGTCATAGGTTTTTATGTTGTTTTTTTTTAAAAATACCAGGTTCACTACATCACAATATTTTTGTTCACATGCTGCAATGGCGCATTCCTGCCCATTTGAAAACTGTATTCATACTTCTCTTTGTCTTAATGTGTTGTTGACTTGAGCTTCATTTCTTTCTGATTCTTTTTCTTTCTTTCTTTTTTTTTTTTTTTGCGAAACCAGGGATTGAACTCAGGCTCTTGCGCTTGCCAGGCAAGTGCTTGTTCTACTGTGCTATCTCCCCAGCCCTGCCTTCTGATTCTTAATCACTTATGTTGACTTGCATATACTATATTTAAATAAAATGAGTCTGGCGATCATGGACTGTGTTGCCCCACCTGCTTATCAGGCATCAGAGGTGCCACTTTGATTTCATGGCACTGATGTCTGACACTTTGAAAAGAATAATAATCCTCTAAGAGGACTCTAAAATTATTTTTATGATTTGTGTTTGGCTAGTGCTACTTTCATAGTTCAAACTTAAAACTTGAGAAGCTTGTCATTGGCCATGTGCTTATCTAAGGCTCTTATTCTGGGGGATTCTCCCAGCGGCATGGAAATCAGACATTTCAGCTTTTAAGAAAATGTCTGGGAACGGATGGGGTGAGAGTGAGGTTTCAGTAGAAGTCATTCTGATCAGTGATTAATAAAATGCAGACTTGAGTCAAATGGCCTGTGTATAAATCTTAGTAGAACTATTTAATAACTTTATGGCCTTAAAGAAGTAACTCTTCTACATCTTAGAGTATCCATACGTAAGATGGAAGACAGTCTTCCCATAGTATCTCCTTTGGCTTTTGTAATGATTAAATGAGATAATACCTTTTAAATCCAGCATGGAATAATTTTTTAATATGTATCCCTAACCATTAGATTTGTTATATTTCAATATAAGTATCTTACCTCTATGTACTTGTAGGAGATTCATGTACTACTTGCTATTTATGGAAAGCTTGTACCAATGTGTTTAAATTACAACCATGGGACTCAATCTTTTATAAATCTCCAAGCTTCCGAGCACAGTTCCATAGCCCTCAAGTAAACAGTGGTTTCCCCTATAAATAGAGGGAATTTAGTTTAGAATAAAACTCACCCAGCTACCAACACTCTGGATGGAAGCAGAACGAGATTTCTCCTTAGGGAAGCAAACGTACCGTCTTAGTACTCTTTTTAATCGAAGAACTCAAAGCATTTACTTTATTAAAGAACAACAAAAAACATTTTTTGCCAAGTGAAGTGCAGCATTTACTACTGTCTGCTTCTTCCCACACTATCCATAAATACGCAGAGGCTGTTTATTTTGCCAGATGGGATTTGAGACCCTGCTGAAACAAGAGATGCCCTCACTTTTGTGTTTCCGTCAAATTCTACCACAAACCACAGTTGGGAGAGAGAGAGAAAAGTTGCCCTGTAAGCATGTTTACCTCCAACTAACAAGGAAGTTGAAACATCCATAAGTGATGATTCATCGTTTCAGTCCTATAAAAGCAACAATGCTCGCTAGAGGCAAGGCAGCCACCGGGCACAGTCGTTCAAGATGCGCCCACTCGTCCTGGCCACTGTCCTCTTCGTGAGCTGGGCGCATGGTCGGTCCTTGCCCCTGCCCAGTGGGGACGACGAGGAGGATTTGTCTGAGGAAGACTTGCAGTTTGCAGAGGTAGATTCTCTTGCCCTTCTCGACGGCGTGGTTCATCCCTTACATTTATTCTCCTTTTAAAAGTAGATCCTTTTGGTTTCTTTCCTAGCGCTACCTGAAATCATTCTACCATCCTGTGAATCTCGCGGGCATCCTCAAGAAGAGTGCAGCAAGTTCCATGGTTGACCGACTCCGAGAAATGCAATCTTTCTTTGGCTTGGAGGTGACCGGCAAGCTTGATGACAATACCTTAGATATCATGAAAAAACCAAGATGTGGGGTCCCTGATGTCGGTGAATACAATGTTTTCCCTCGAACTCTCAAATGGTCCAAAACGAATTTAACTTACAGGTAAACCATAGCCTAGTTTTCCTTAATATTTGTCAGTCTTTTCTTCTATCATTAAATCTCACGTATTCAGAGTAGGCCTTGGCTACTTAATTGGAATTTAAGTCTAGGAATAGCTTTAATGCTGTTGCTGAGAATACACCGTTAACATCTGTTATGATAACACTAACCCAGCATAGATTTTCAGTAAAAATCTCGAGGTGTTTCTTTTAAAACTAATATCAAATAGAAGTAACATTCAATTTAAAGAAAATTTGCAAGTGTAGTAATCAATTGCATTTTACAATAGTGCTGGCAGAGTTCTGAGCTGTCTAGGAATTTTATGGAGCTATTTAATGCCTATTCATTTATGAGGGCATGTATGCGTATATTTAGAGATGCTCAAATATTGGATCGAACTTTTTGCTTTTTATGCTTGTGTGGCATCACAGTTGATACATTCTACCTCCAGTAGACCTTTCATAGAAGCCTTTGTGTTTTGAATTGTCAAGCAATCTTCGAAGAAAATATATTTAAAAATAGCGAAGTATATTCTCAAATTCTCTGACCTTCCAATATTTAATTGAAACCTCCTCTGTTGAATAGAATTGTGAATTATACACCTGATATGACCCATTCTGAAGTGGAAAAAGCATTCAGAAAAGCTTTCAAAGTCTGGTCCAGTGTGACACCCTTGAATTTTACCAGACTTCATGAGGGCACTGCAGACATCATGATCTCTTTTGGAACTAAAGGTACATATGCGGAGTTATGCCTCAGACATTTGAGATTCCAGCCACTGAATCAGTTCCCTCAGTCATTCATTACATTTACAGTGTTTGATGAAAATTCACCCAGCCCCCATGCTGAGTACTCCTGGGCAGAACGAGATCCTTACTCTTGCTTTTCTGTGCAGAGCACGGTGACTTCTACCCATTTGATGGGCCCTCCGGTCTACTGGCCCATGCTTTTCCTCCTGGACCAAATTATGGAGGAGACGCACATTTTGATGATGATGAATTCTGGACAGACAGTTCCAAGGGTAAGATTTCTTATAAATATATAATTTTTGGCTTACTCAATTAGGGTAGAAGGCAAAGTCGATTATACAAAGTTAAGGTTAAAATAATATTTAGTATATGATTATATTTTATTAAAAATTCAGTTTAGCTTATACTTATTATTGCTTCCATGAGTGACATTTCTACAAACCAATGTTAAACTTTAAAAATGAATAAAGTTTACTGAATTTATCATTGTGGCTTAAAGGATACCAACTCTGAAGTAAGGCCAGAATGTCTTTCTATCTTTGCTGTCAGTTTAGGTACTATTACGGTAAATTATCTGTTGGTGTGTTGAATTATCTTTTGGCATATATGGGAGAGAGAGGGAGGGAGGGAAGGAGGAAGGGAGGGAAGGAGAGAGAGAGAGAGAGAGAGAGAGAGAGAGAGAGAGAGAGAGAGAGAGAATGGCAGAAATGCAGTCTAATTTCTGTGCCTCATTACATGTGTTACTTGTCTAAATTTCACCTGTAGCACTCATGTTATAAATACCACTTTAGGAAATCAAGATAATGTCTTACTCCAAATAGCATATGACAGATAAGGTGAAGACTGTATTTATAAGAGTAAAACAAAACTGAATGTTGAATGAATTAATTTAGTAGTTGCATTGTCAGGGCTCAAATTAATTCATTGTTAATTTAGAAAGAAAATCTGTAGATAATCGCAATTAGGGTGTAACTTTGGAGCTGGATAGAGCTTTATGAGGACCAGAGGCAACTTCACAGACAGATAATTTTTTTATTATTCACTGAAATACTAATCATTATTCTCCCCAAGAGTAAATCTGGGTCAAAAAAGAATAATGTCTGAGTTCAAAAGCCTTCAAACCATATTTGGAGGGGAAATAGGTGAGAATTTACATATTCATGTTATGAGTACTTTATAGGTAAGGATAATTTTAGGAAGAAAGAGTAATATCTGTAATAGTTAAGGTAGAATTACAGTAATCCTCAGGTTTAGGTTACTGTACAAATATTGGGCTTGAATTATTCAATTGAAATAAATAAAAACATGCACAGACAAATCTAACTGAAAATTTCAGCTGAAAGCCAAGAATGGTTTCCATTACTAGTCCTTCCAATAAAGAATTATGTCTCACTCACACCACATGATCCTGATTGCCTTATGACATGCAAGATTTGCTAAATTAGTTCATTTTCTTCATGCACAAGCTATGACAACAAAATGTTTTTAAGGTCAAATTAAGACTACTGGCTCCAGCTCTTCTGTGGTCTAAGTAGAAGGAATCTATTATTTTATGTGTCTTATTTTTGAAGGTTTTATTATTCTTTCTTACAATTTAAAAGAGCAGTAAATTGGTCGAAAGCATGACTGAAGGAAACAGTCAGTATAGCAGTGTAGTTCTATTCTAGACAAGGGGAAAGGGGGCCAACCATAGTCAGAGTCTCTGTTCTCTAAACTCTGGCATCAGAAAATCTCTGGAAAGAGTAAGTTGGCTGGAATTTGTCCCAAGGTGCGAGAGTCCCCAAAGACTCTCGGTGGGTATCCCACGCTTGTTGTTGTCTCTGGGAACGCTGTCTCCTGGCGCGATCTAGGCCGCGTCCTTCTATGCACAGCCCCATGTGACTCCCCCACTGCTGGCGCCAGGTCAGCTCTGTCTACTTTCTACACCTGACCTAAAGGTACAAAGATCAAATTAGGACTTCTGCTGTCTTTGCATCAAATCCTTATTGGTAGCGAGTTATATGACTGCAGTCTGTGGATGTCATGGGAGGTGTTTGACTAATTATTTAGGCAGCTATAATAAAAGCGAAAAAGAATAATAAGCAGTAAGCTAATACTTGAAGCTTCACACAAGTAGATAGGATGAAAGAAAAAAGAATTAAGGAGAAAATAATATTTCTTTTCATTAGAAAAGGTGGTCCTGGAACCTCACGTAGAAGCCTGTTGTCAGTGCGTCTTTGTTTCCCTACAGGCTACAATTTGTTTCTTGTTGCTGCCCACGAGTTGGGTCACTCCTTAGGCCTGGACCACTCTAAGGACCCTGGCGCGCTCATGTTTCCCATCTACACATACACCGGCAGGAGCCATTTCGTGCTTCCTGATGATGACGTGCAAGGCATCCAGTCGCTCTACGGTAACTCTTCATTTATCAGCTATAAGAACAGAACACAATCGGCTGTACAACTAACTAGCTGTATAAGCAGAAGAAGCGCATACATTTGCTTTCTCAATGACTACTGCATTTGCTGCTGCCAGTACTGATGCTCTTATTTTGTTATGAACACTTGAGGGGGGACACAGCCATTTTTTGGTCTTTCTAAGTCAAAACCAATCCAGTTTGTCAGGGTAGAAACCGCTCAAGTAGCCTTTGGTACTTTTAACCAATGTCCTCAGTGACAGTGTAAGGAATTGTTTTCCCTCCAAGTTTTCAATAACATTTACAAAATAATTAAACCTCAACCCAAGCATTTATTTATAGATTCCCTGCTGTAAATAGAATTAAAGTAACTATGCACAGTCATCAGTGTAAACATTCCTGGAGCAAAGAACTCAAAAATCCTTCATGTTGCCTTCGCCCATCATTTTCTCAACTGGATTTAAATCTGTTGTTACAGCTGACTGAAGCGAAGGCATAAACTTGAAGGTGTCACAGGAAATTTTCCAGTTTATTTTTTAATTCTTCTTTGTACTATGTTATGATTCAGGGGTGGGTGCTGAAACAGTGAAGGGTCATTACACACCCCATGTCCATACATGTGAGCTGATGTGAATCTTAGAAACATGGCATGAGGCACAATAGAGCTGCTGGCCTGTCACTGAGAGGCAGCTGCTCTGTGGCAGAAAGGTGAAGCAACAACGGCTGATGTTGACAGTTGGTAAAAGAGATGCACAAAAAAGCCAAGAAAAGGGCTCCCTTGGCCCCCAGGTGCCACCAGAAATGGCTTTAACAGAGAAGTGTTTCTCCCCAACCACCTGACAATGAGTTGGACAAGGTGTGAGTGGTTTTCTCTGTTAAGGGCTTTTTCCCATTTCTAAGATGGGCCTCAAGAGATCGAAGTTTATAGGTCAGGAAAATCTGAAGGAGTCTGGAAAGGTTTCTTTGGGAAGACCTTGGAAATACTGGAGGAAGGAAGTAGGATTTTTGCCTCTGCTGTGCATAGAAGCCCTGGGACTTCCGCCCTCCCCAGAGGGAACCTGCTCCTCGCTCTCTTAGTAGGCTTAGCCTTGCTATCTGCGCCTCATCAGGAAGGTCAGCCTCAGTGACTTCTCATATTACTTTCCTGACCACAGGTCCAGGAGATGAAGACCCCAACCCCAAACACCCCAAAACACCAGACAAGTGTGATCCTGCCTTATCCCTTGATGCCATTACCAGTCTCCGAGGAGAAATGATGATCTTCAAAGACAGGTATTCAAGGTTCTTTCATGAATTCTGCACGTGCCAATAATTTGCAAAGTCAAGCACCAAAATACCCGTAAAATGTTTAAGGTTAACTGTGAAAATAATAGAGTTGTGCCAATGTATTTATATATTTCAAGTCAAATAAATGATGGGTAAAATCTTATTTTTTAGTCAATAATCTAAACATAAGGCACCTTCCTTTAAAGATACCAAAGTAAAATAGAATTACAATTTATTTGAAAGACAGATATTAAAAGGAAGTAATTAGTAAACAGTTACTCATAAGTTATTTCACATGATTGTCTTTTGGGCATGGAAGGACTTTGATTTGGGATACAACTGGTGGAATTTAAGAGACAAACACCTTTCAAACTTAAATCTGTAGATAATGAAAAAATACATTAATTTTCACTTTTGGATTTCTGAGTTATACTCATAGATTCACCCATCCTTCCATCCACTCACTACTTCCTCGTGTGTGGTCCATACCATCCACTACTCCTTCAGTGGCTGTCCCTGCACTGTGCACCAGGCATTTTCTTGCATGACTTTTTCCCGAGGCCGTGAGATTGCTGAAAATAGAATCCATGAAATCCATACTTTATTTCTAAAGCCCAACACAATGCTTGGCGCCTTTGCTTCTTACAAGGCATACAAAATTGAAAACCTGGCCTCTGCCCAAAGAGGACTGAAAGCCTTTACAAAGGCTTCGTGACATTTCCAGCCTGTATGTCCTCAGCAGGCATTGGGATCATCACAAGTTATAACCAGAACTTAACGGATATGGATTTTGCCCCTTTCACAAGTGCTGCGGCGTAGTAGTGTAATCTGTAATAATGTGCAGAGAAGTGGATAGCAGGACTGAAAAAGATAAAAATGTGATGGAAGACTTCTGTGTTTCCCCTTGAATCAGGTTCTTCTGGCGTCTGCACCCTCAGCAGGTTGATGCTGAGCTGTTTCTAACAAAGTCATTTTGGCCAGAACTTCCAAACCGTATTGATGCTGCCTATGAACATCCTTCTCAGGACCGTATCTTCATCTTTAGAGGTCAGTTGTTCTCATGGGAGGATAGAGGTTAACTTCCTGTTCCTTCAGATTACATGAAAGGAAATACACCCCATTAGGAACCTAGTATAACAAACACCCAACAGCCCCTGAAATTATTTCACCAATACCTTGAATTTCATATATAAATGTCTCTTATCGTATCCAGTTGTTGTTTATACCAGTCGTTTCAGATTTTTTCTTTCTCTTAAAAATTGTTTACTGAAAAAATATAACAGTGTATACTTTGGAAAAGTAAAAGGTTATTACCTGTGATTCTCTGTAAAGAAGTTAATGTCAGCTTCTCTATTTTCTAGTTTTTTGCCAGGTTGAATGCATATTTTTACTTACTTAATTTCAAAATGTAGATACTTTTTTATATTCTATTTGTTTGATTGACATAGAATCATGGAAAATTTTCCAAGTGGTTGCTATGTTTTCATAATCATAATTTGATATCGTGTACATGTAACACGATGGCAACATTTCCATTATTCACCTATTACAGTGTTACAGTAGAGTTAATTTCGCTCCTCCCTGGTGCTGGGGAATAAGCTTACTACCTTCTCAATGGGCTGCATCCCCAGCCCTTGTCATCTTGAGGCCGGGTCTCACTGAGTTGCTAAGTTGTCTTGCCCACGAGGTTGAACTTGGAATCTTCCGCCTTCAGCTCAGAGTCCTGCGATTACACACGTGTGCCATCGTGCCCTGGTAGAGTAAAGTTACCTTTTCAGAGATGGAAAAAAATTATTAACTGATTCCAATTCCATTTACTGTTCCAATAAAGCCGTTTATTTAATAGACATTTTTAATGCATTTTCTACTCAGCTCCAACAGTATTTGGTTATAAATTGCCCAACTAAATGTGCTGTCTCAGTGACTGTATCCATAACTAAGCAATTAAGAAATGAAATTCCACTTTTTTGAGAAATGTTCACCTTCTGAAGTATCATGAACATCAGTATTATATTTCTTACAATTTTCCATTGAGTAAACATCTATGTATATATATGAGTCCTAACAGATTTTCTTGGATACATTTTTCTTTTATTTATCCTAGGAAGAAAATTTTGGGCCCTTAGTGGCTATGACATTGTGGAAGGCTATCCCAAAAAAATATCGGAACTGGGATTTCCCAAAGAGATTAAGAAGCTGAGTGCTGCTGTTCACTTTGAAGACACAGGCAAGACTCTCTTCTTCTCAGGAAACCAGGTGTGGAGGTACGGCTGCAGAGCGCTGCCCCACTGGTGTGGCGGGGCGGGGTGGGCCCCCGCGCCTGGTTCCACTCCAGACAGGCTCCTCACATGGCCCTTTCAGTGTTATGCCCAGCATGTATTTCTTTCCTATGTCAGCTTTTTCAGAAGTTCCTCAAATACATATTTAAAAGTCCCACGCCTTCTGAAACACACACTCAACACATACTCGCCTGTTTCAACCATTCTGTTCTTTCTCAGCTCTTTATTGTACCTCAGTCACAGCAAAATCATGCTTTGTTTTCTTCCCCCCTTTTTTGTGTTTTTGAGACAGGGTCTCGCTATGCAGCTCAGGCTGGCCCTGTGCTCGCTTTGCAGCCCAGGCTGGTTTAGAATTTGCGAGGATCCTCCTGCCTCAGCCTCCCAAGTGCTGGGATCGCAGGTGTACCACAGTGCCTGGCAACGCCATGCCTTTTTAACTTTGGCGCCTTAGTATTGGCAGGCCGCTCTACTGCTGCATCTGCTGCTTGCCGCTCTCCTCATTGCATGCGGTTTTGTTTTCCGAGGTTAGAGTGGGTATCAGAATGGGTATGAATAAAGATTGGTTGAGAAAAGCCTCCGTGTTTGCAGAATTGGCTGATCCACTAGACAGGTGACCAGGAAGGTGACAGGCCCATGGTGTGTAAAGTCAAGTTTTCTGAAGCCCAAATAGCGGACCGTGTGTAGAGAGTCAGCAGCTTAGAAGCCCAGATCCATCCTACACTAGGAAGTGACAACGTACAGCACTTGAAATCTTTAGTATGGCAGCTTTACTACACACACACACACACACACACACCTCTGTATACATCACTTTTTTTTTTTTTTTTGTGGCACTGGGGATTGAACTCAGGCCTTGTGATTGCCAGGGAAGCGCTTGTGCTACTGAGCCATCACCCTGGCCCCACCATTGTTTTTTGAATTCTTTATTTCTGACAATGACATTCATACCCCTCTCAAAGCTACTGGCAGCTTCTTCCTAGTATTACACACACACACACACACACACACACACACACACACACACACACACCATATGCTGCACAGGAGGTCTGTGGCTCAGTCAGGATAAGTTGCCTACTACATCTCAAATACATTGTGTTTTCTATGCTTCTCCACTTCCCTTATGAAATTTTCTTTGCTGTGCGGTCTTTTGCCACATCTCTCCTTTTAAAAGTCTACCTATTTGAAAGATTATTTTGCTTACAAACTTTTTTTGATCACCCCATCCTGAGGATATCTCTACTCCTGTACTCTGGTACCATTTTGTGTTTATGGGCTCACAACACCTAACTTTGATTGCCTAGTGTTGTAGTTCTGTGTATCCATAGCTAAACTTTCTTATGACCTTTACTGTCTGTCACAAGACACTTCAAGGTCACCAGGAGTGACCTCAGCAGTGGTGCTACTTTCCAGGAGCCTGTTCTTGGGCCGTTTCAGAACATGTTTGCTGGCCTGAGTGTGATACAAGCGGGGAAGAAGCGCAAACATGCAGCTGTGGAAGGGGACAGTTGTGCGCCTCTTCTTACCTTGAACACAGCCAAATGCTCCCATAACTTTTTAGTACAGAAATTAACCTCAAGTATTCTTTAATTCAATGTTGAACTTAGAAGCTGTTTGACATGTAGTGGGAGATCAGTGGATAATTGGCCGATGCATACACATATATTTCTTTTAAGAGTACTTTCTGGGTGACAGTTTTATAGCAGATCATAACTTGTGAAATGGGAGTGAGGGTGTGGCTGACCTTACAAAGATGTCCTTGAAACACATCAGATGCAAATGATCACCAGACGCCCACTGTGCTCGCTGTAGGGTAAATCCCACAAGCTATTTCAAGGTGACTTAAAATTTTAAAGCTTCTGCTAATTTTAGGGGATGTGGTTATATCCATTGGGTCATTTCTTAAGCTTTTCTTCTCTTGAGATTGTGCCTTCATTGCTGAGGCTGGCAGCTCTCCTGCAGCTGGGACTAAAGACATATGCCATGCGGCCTTGCTTAAATTAATATTTTAAAAATATATAGCTTGAGTTTATTTTTCTTTTTAAATAGATATGATGACACTAATCATGTTATGGATGAAGACTATCCCAGGCTGATAGAAGAGGTCTTCCCAGGAATTGGTGATAATGTGGATGCTGTCTACGAGAAAAATGGTAACTAGTCATTCAGCGCTGATTTTTAAGAAGGGCTTTTTCTTTTTTTTCCATAATTTTATTGACAGACAAATAGCAATGAGAAAGTTTCAAATCAAATTGGTAGGACAGTTTCAATCATTAACACATTGCATACTCTCCTCCTAGTGGTTATTTGCTTTCCAAGATGCAGGCAAGATATCCTATTTATGAACTCTATTACAACAAATCCTTCTACTCATTAAGAGAATGTAACTACATATCTATCCAAACCATTTTGAATACACAGATACAAAATGGACATTCATGTAAGGAAGGGCTTTTTCTGTAGCCCCCCACAATTCTTTCCCGTAGTAAGGATTTTAACGCAGTACTTAGTGTACTGATGAATGGATAGCAGTTCAAGCTTAAGTCATTTCTGTGTGCCTACTTACACAGATAGCAGACACAAAAATAATCTGTTTAGAATAAATGAGAATTTTACACAAATATTGCTAATTATATGAGATGCCAAGTCTTCACTATCAGCTTAATTTGTAAATAAAGATGCCAAGGGCACAGGGTACTGTGAGAACTCACTCTGGAAGTGGAACGGGGAATACTTTCTTCATAAAGACTTGTAACTGTTATAACCATAGAAGGATTTTTTTGCTTTATTTATGAGGGCATCTCCTTAACTTATGAGTGGTAGCAGAAATATTTCTAGTATCAAAATTGAAACTCATGGAAAATAATTAGCACCAGGTAATAATCAAGGAAGTGTGTCTTGGAACATTTATCCTTTCTTAAACTATAAGTAATATGTATCTTTTTACTTTTACTAGTACATGTTTGCCTTACATGACGGTTACGTACCCTGCAGGGCACGGGTACATGCCCATAATACATTTCAATTCTTTTGTTTCTTCTTCTGTCCACTCCTCCTTTTGTTTTTCCAGCATCAGTTTCATTTATATATCTTGTAAATCCTTATAGAGTTAATTGTCATACACAGATTGAAAACCAAACTAATAGGACAAAGAACACATAGAGCATGTAAGGCGATTGTCCTGCTAAGATGTATTTTTAGATACATTGTCTGTGCTGAACTACAATACCTTTTTTTCTCTCCCTCTTTTCCTGTTATTGGTCTTTCATTTCATACTTTATATATACTGAGTTTTTTTATATAAGAACTATAAATAATATACTAAGTCATTCGCAGAATTTTAAAAGAGAAAGTTTAGAAGTTAAAAGTAAATGAAATGTAGCAGATCAGATCTTTATTGTTAGCTTTATTAAAACTTCATTATTCTCAGAGTCTGAAATTTTTTCTTATGGTCTTTCTCTTGTAGGCTACATCTATTTTTTCAACGGACCTGTACAGTTTGAATACAGCATCTGGAGTAACCGTATTGTTCGAGTCATGTCAACAAATTCTCTGCTGTGGTGTTGAATGTCTTTAGAAATTGTTATTTAAGTCCTGGAAAGCACTGGGGGTAACACTTGCAGATGCTCGGGGCAGGGCGGGCAGAGCTCAGTTCTGTGAACGGGCTTCAGTAAGTTATCTCTGCATGTGCACTATCTATGTGACTCTGCGTGGCTGGAACCACATCGAAGAGTTTTACAGTAAAGAAATCGAGTGCCTCTAAGAAACATCAGATTCTCGTGTGCTGAAAAAAAGCAGTAGCTGACACCATATCCCATGCCAAAATGGAATAGATGGTCAATCAGTGAGAATGTGGTTTTTAAACATATTTATAAGGAAACTTAAAAAGGCATAAAAGTAAATTACAATAATATAATTATCAATCATCGTTAAACATGTGAACTAGTTTAAACGGAAGCTTGAGGAGGTACATGGTGGCCACACACGAGCATAGGTAAAGGGAAATGTCTGTGATAAACCTGTAGACAACTTTTTGAAAGATCATTTAGGTTTTTGCACTGAGAAGATTCAGTTGTACATGCCTCCCTTCACACAAACGCTGAGAAAATAACAGAAGTAACTAAAGAGAGGAGACAAAGGCCAACACAGGGGTGGTACATGTACTTTGGATTCTATTTAAGTTTTACTTCTGTTAAGGGCTCAAGGGCAGCTTTCAAATAAGACAGATGTTCTTTTGCATATCACTGCACAATGAAGAAAGGTGCTCTCTCTTTTTATTAAAATATTTCAGGTCTTGAAAAGTTATGCAGTAAACATTCAAGTTGTTAACAAAATAACTTAGATGATAGCATCACTTTTTCATAGTTGTTTGATTATTTAACACTAAACTTATTGTTTTCACCCTAATAATTTTCATTATCCAGTTTACCTTGGATAAATAGGCTATCTTCTAAAAACGTGGATAGGAGACAAAGTACATCTTAGGAATTACAAGTATATATTTTAAAACAGAGACTTTCAAAATAAGAAAGTCCATTAGATTGTGGTCCTCTTGAAATACAGAACCATTTCCTTCCTTCCTTCCTTCCTTCCTTCCTTCCTTCCT